AAAAAAAAAAAAAAACTCACATTTTTTTCAGATAAAATCCAGAAACTAAATCCTGTGGTAAAACCTCTACAACATTGGCAACTCTTATTCAGATTTTAAGTAATAAAACTCAGATAGCAGAAAATTTTTGCAGCTACATGGTGAGTTCAAGTCCAGCCTGGGTTACATGAGACCCAGTATCAAGATAAAAAAAAAATTGGAAAAGCAGATTTATAAATCATGTGACATTTATAGATAGTTAATCAGCTCAGCTCTTCAATATTTACCAAACAGTACCCCAAAACAAGTTTTATGAAATCTACACTCGATCTTTTTCCTTTTAAAAGAGAATTTTATTTATTTATTTATTTTTGTTTTTCAAGACAGGGTTTCTCTGTAGCTTTGGAGCCTGTCCTGGAACTAGCTCTGTAGACCAGGCTGGCCTCGAACTCCCAGAGATCTGCCTGCCTCTGACTCCCTAGTGCTGGGATTAAGGACTTTTTTTTTTAAATGTGGGTGTTTTTCTTGCATGAATGCATGTACACATCCTCAGAGGTCGGAAGACGGATGGATGGTTTAGCTGACCACTGTGTGAGTGCTGGACCCTGAGCATGGGCCATCCACCCACAAGGACAAACGTTCTAACCCTGAGCCGTTTCTCCAGCCCCCCTTTGCCATTTCCTTTGCACTGATCTTCTGTTTCTCCTGTGCTCACCTGGTATGACTGCCTACATCTCCTGCTTTACTGCAGAGCCAGGCAACTTTTAAGGTAAAGGCCAGATGGTTAATATTTCAGTCTTTATGGGCCATGAAGACTCTGCCACATCTGTTAACCTCTGCCACTGCAGCCATATAGTAGCCAAGGACTATATGCCAGGCTGTGGGCGTGGTGGTAGCCAAAGACAAGGGCCAGGCTGTGGGCGTGGTGGGACTATATTCCCACACCACTCATTTACAACAAGTTGACAAGCAGCAAGCTGGGTTTGGGCCAAGGCGTGCTAGCTCGCCCTTCCTTGAGCTCACCCTTGAGCTAGCACAGTTCAGGCTGTCCTAGGGAGGTAAGGACTTGAGTGGCAGAAACATCTGGCCTCGGCACTGCAGGATTCTGAACAATGTACAAAACTTCCCTTGACTCTGAGTACTCTCTAGAAACAAAATTACATCACCTCCTTAATAGGTCGTAAACAGTAAAAATGCCAAGTGTCGTTTCAAACATCTGTGATTCTGGCCCTCGAGATTATTAGGAGTTTGAGGACAACCTTGACTACATAGCAATTTAAAGTCATCTTGGGCTGTGTGAAACTCTGTCTTAAAAGAAAAAAAAATTGAAGGAGATAAAGTACTGATATAGAATATGATACATAATATGTCTTATGTAAATAGAAGCTATTTTTATTATACTGAGAGAAAACATCAAAAAGGGCAGGGAAAACAGTACTAGGAAGCGATGTTTAACCTCAGAAATACTAGCTGTGTGTACACGCATGTGCGTGAGTGGTGGAACTGAACCCCAGGCCTTGCACACACTAGGCAATACTCTACCACTGAGTCATGTCCTAGAGACAGGGTTTGTTTCACTAAGTTATGTTCTATGAAGTATTTTTAGTGCTATAACACAGTATAACTACCACAGATAAAGAGAACTGACCACAGGGCTGCTGTAAAGTTAGACTCTTGGCCTGCCTGGGCTACACAAGTTCAAAGGCATCCTGAGCAACTTTTGTAAAAGAGGCTAGCCTCAAACTCCTGATCCTCCTGCCTAGACTTCCTAAGGGCAAGGATGAGCATGCCCAACTTCACTTCATCTTTACAACCTAATGGGAAGTCAGCTCACACTGGAGTCAGACGACAACTTGGGGGTGGGGATGGGGTCTCTTCTCTCCTTTCAGCATGAGTTCAAACTCAAGTCACCAGGCTTGGGGACAGGTGCCCTCACTCACTGAGCCATCTCACAGGCCCGAGATATTTTCTTTTTAGATTTATTTTATGTGTATGAATGTTTTGTCTGCATGTATGCATGTGTTCCATGTAGATCATAAGAGAGCTGAGGGTGCAGGAACCCAAGTTACAGACGGGTGTGTGCTGGAAACTGAACTCTGGCCCTCTGTAAGAGCAGCCATTGATCCTAACCACGGGGCCATCTCCCTAGTACCTCTAAAATCCTTTTTTTTTTTTTTTTTTTNTTTTTTTTTTTTTTTTGCTTTGAGACAGGGTTTCTCTGTAGCTTTGGAGCCTGTCCTGGAACTCGCTCTGATAGACCAGGCTGACCTCAAACTCACAGAGATCCACCTGCCTCTGCCTTCCGAGTGCTGGGATTAAAAGCATAAACCACCAGTGCCTGACTTAAAATCTTTTTTTTTTTTTAAGGATATTAAATTACAAAGAAAACACAACTCTTCTATAAAGCTGGAAGCATTAGTAACCTGTGTAACATAGAGAAAACTGTACTTACCGACGCTGGCTTTTAGGAACTTATTTCCAATCCTTTGGTCCATCCCAATAGCTGTGGCCACCTCTTCCACATCAGCCCCCGTCGCTTCACACAGAGCACTGATGGAGTTAATGCTGCTGATCCTCTGTGCAAGGAAAGCATTTGCTGCCTTCAAATATAAGACAAAAGGGAGACGACAGCGAGTGAAAACCCGACTTTATATGTCAGGAGAGCTCACTGAGGCATACGATACTAATGGGCTCATTTGGAGGAGGCAGTGGAAAACTGATTAGAAAAGACAATTTAAAAAGATATTAAGTTGCAGTGGTAGAGAACAGGTAAGGCATCAGGTTAATCTCCAGCACTGGGGGGGGGGAGCAAAACAAATATTTTCGTGTGTGCATGTGTGTGTGGTGATCCCCACAGTCAGGAAGCAGAGGCAGGATTTGAGTTTGACAGTGGCTGGAGTAACAGATTTAATGGAGAGCCACGAGCTTTGCACTGACCAGTTTGGAAAGCTCTGAAGACCAAGTGTTGGTGGTGAGGATCTTTTCCTTGGGCACCCAGTGCTCATACACAGCACAGAGCGCCAGGACAGCTTTCTGGCCCTCTGGGGTCTCATCCCCTCCAATCAGGACTCTGTCTGGGTTCTTTAGGTCCTTGATGGCTGTCCCCTCTGCCAAGAACTCGGGATTGGACAGCACCTAGAAGAGCAATACAGAGGCAAATTTAGGCTAGAATGAATCGTGGGTAACTTGAAGGCATCAGTCTTGCCCTAAGAAGAATCAGTTGTGGAGTTTCCTTTCTTCATACCTGTAAATTCAAGTTGGGCTTTGTGTTGGCATCAAATATACGGCGGATGCTTTCCGCTGCCCGCACGGGGACTGTGCTTTTCTCTGTCACGATTTTGTACCCATTTGAGTTCTGCACGATGCGTCGAGCACAAGCTTCAATATACTTCAGATCTGCCGCCCGGCCTTTCCCCATTCCATAGGTTTTGGTGGGTGTGTTCACCTAGAGAAAGCATTTGGGATGAAGCACACGGTGCCTGTGAGCGCTCTCCAGTGCTCTCAAGACAGTGCCCAGACTGTTAACTAGCAACAGTAGGAAGCTCGTAACTCTCACAGAACAACACAACACACTTTATAAATATAACCTTGGAAAGAAACAACTGGAAACATCTAGAGAACTCTTCTGTGGGAAGGTGGTCTTACATATGCTAGACCCGAGGGCAGGCAGGAAGGCTCCAAGCTAAGGCCAGGAGATAAAAATGAATGAATTCAGAGGCCCTTACTCTAAAGGAGTACCTATCTATCATATGCAAAATATTATCATGGTCTTTTAAAAAAAGATATTTTGTTATATATGTATACTTTGTTTATGTGTATGTACATGAACTGTGTGCATGCCTGGTGCCCATTGAGGTTAGAAGGTGTTGGATCCTGAAACTGGAGTTACCAACATTTGTAGGCTGCCATGTGGGTGCTAGGAATTGAACTTGGGCCCTTTGGAAGAGCAGCCAGTGCTCTTACCTTCTGAGTCATCTCTCCAGCCCCTATTATTAAGTCTCTAAAGAGAAATTTTAGGGCTGGAGAAATGACTCAGCAGTTCAGAGCACTGTGGCTTAATGCCAAATAAAACAAAGAAACCTTCACAGTCAGGAATATTAAAAATAAATAAATAAATAAAATCACATGGGAAAGCACACTACTTACAGAAATAAACACTAGATCAGCTTCTCTGATGGCATCATCAATATTGGTAGAAAAAAATAGATTTTTCCCTCGACAGGATTCTACTACTTCTTTTAATCCAGGCTAGAGAAGGGGAAAAAAAGGAGTTGAACACAGTATTATCCAATCCTGAGACGAACAACAAACAGAATCAGCTATGTTGCACTGTAACTTCAAGGTGTTTGGTAAGGACAGTCGAGGGTCTCTGGGCGTGGCAGTGCACACTGTAGTCCTGATACTTGGGAGGCTGAGGCTGGAGAACTGAGTCTGGGGTAAGGCTGAGCTACACAGTGGATTTGAGGTCAGACCGGCTACCCTGGGAGGTCCTGTGAAAACTGGAAAAAGGAGGGGCATACACAAGACACAGTAAATAAGGATGTTATGAAACAAAGCAAAGCAAAGTTGAACTTGCACAAAGATCAGCAGCTCTAAAATGCCTTCTCGTTGTTTCCCATGGACCTGGGTGACGCGTTAACCATTAACACCTCGTATCAACTCAGTTATCACACCCTGCAAGGCCCTGGGATTCCAAGCAAAGTTTTTGCATTGTCACTATGAACGCAGTCGTATCCATGCCATGGCCTCTGCACCTGCCCCATGATTCACACCATAGAGGTGGTTGTAGAAGCCAGTGTTTGCTTTAAATAAGGAGAAAATAGTGTTTTCCCAAGTCCTACTATAAGAAGCCCTGAAAATCTTTACTACTTTTTACCATGCAGTTTATCTGGGGACATATTTATGTCAAAATTTTTTAAAAGGAACACTGCCACTTAAAAAGTATTTGTTTAACTTTTTAAAAAACTACATTTATTTTGGGTCTAGAAGTGTGCGTGCTGTGGTATGCATGTGGAGGTCAGAAGAACACTTTTGGGAGTCAGCCCTCTCCTACAGTGTTGGTCCAAAGTCACACTCAGGTCGTCAGGTTTGGTGGCATGCACCTTTACCCAGAGTCATCCCATCAGTCCACAAATATTCTTGTAGAGAGACAAAACAGCCCAGATCTGATCAGATCTGTCCTCTAGATCCAACTGCCAATTTACAGGGACTAGAGGATGCAGAAAAATGTTAGAAATATTCAAGGGAGCTCAGGAGTCAACCAGGAGAATCTACTCTGGAAATTTCCACAACAAACCAATTTCTCTAACTAAAAAGCAGGGGAGAAAACAAAACCATTAACAAAGCAAGGGAGGATAAACAAGTGAACAGAAAGTGAAAAGATTGTGGAAAGTGTGAAGTGAAAAGACATAGCTGGGCCGGGCAGTGGTGGCGCACGCCTTTCCCAGCCTGGTCTACAAGAGCTAGTTCCAGGACAGGCTCCAAAGCTACAGAAAAACCCTGTCTTGAAAAAAAAAAAAAAAAAACCATGGCTGCCGGACAGTGGAGGCACAAGCCCTGCACTCAGGAGGAAGGGGCAGGGGGATCTCTGAGTTCAAGGCCAGCCTTGCCTATACTATAGAGCCAGTTCCAGGACAGGCAAAGGAACACAGAGAAACCTTGTCTCTAAAAAACAAAAAACAAACAAGACACAGCTGAGCATAGTGTTGCACACCTGGGCTCTAGCCCTCGGGAGACGGACAGAAGGACTTGAGTTTGAGACCAACCAGCCTGATTCGTCCAGTGAGATCCTGTCTCAGATGAAAGAAACAAAATAAAATACTTACACGTAAGTGATACCATTCTACTACAAAATGGGAATCTTCCTTGGCCTCCGATTTAAACTAACTGGAGGATGAACATTCATAAACTTTTTCTTTTGTTTGTTTTGGGTTTTTGCAGTGGCCTAGATCATGCTGTCTGTTCTCTCATAAGGCTACACTCCCAGTCCCAAGAGCTCTTCACAGTATTTTGCTTTGTTTTGTTTTGTTTTCCAAGACAATATATATATATATCCCTGGCTGTCCTGGAACTCACTCTACAGACCAGCTCAAACTCACAGAGCTCCTCCTGTCTCTGCCTCCCAAGTGTTGGGATTAAAGGCATGCACCATCACTGCTAGGCTTAAAGTCTTATTCTTTACTAATTTTAACTTATTTTTAACACTCATTCTTGTGTGTGTACATGCAAGTGTGTCAGAGCATGTGCTTGCCATGGTATTTGTTTTTCCAAGTCCTACTATAAGAAGCACTGAAAATCTGTGTGCATATGGAGGTCAGAGGACTTTTGGGAATAGTTTTTTCCTTCCACTATGGGGGACCCAGGACCAAACTCAGGTCGGCAGGTTTGATAGCAAATGCCTTTCTGAGCTGAGACATCATCTCCCAGGCCCCGAGGCCTTCTAACATAAGCCACTGGAGGAGGTCTAACTGTAAACGCATACCCTGTACTAATTAATTGAGCAGGAGCAGCAATAATATAAAACACGTGTGGGGTCCCCAACATGCACTAGACTTCTCCCTGACCGGGGGCTAGAATGACAGAAAACGTTACGGAGGTGTGTTTTTGCAGAGAACAAGTTAACCAGTCTTCTGTGAAATGAAGTGAATCTGGCACAGGAAGACAAATACCACATGTCCTTCATGATGTGGAAGCCAGGAGAGCTGATCACACAGAGAATAAAACAGTGATTACCGGAGGCAGGGAGAGTGATAGCCGGTAATGGGTCCAGAAGTCCAGCTGGACAGGAAGGGTGACTTCTGACACCCTCGAGACAGCAGGGGCGCTGGCCGAGAGCTGGCAATTACATTATCTCAAAACAGTTTGTAGAAAATTCTCTGTTTTCATTTTAACCACTGCCTGGCTCTTTTTTAAAATTTTATATTCATTGGTGTTTTGCCTTCATGCATGTCTGTGTGAGGGTGTCAGAAGCCCTGGAGCTAGAGTTATAGATGGGTGTGAGCTGCCTGTGGGTGCTGAGAATTGAACTTGAGTCTTCTGGAAGAGCAGTCAGTGCTCTCAACCGTTGAGCCATCGCTCCAGTCCCGAAAATTCTCTTAATACAAATAAATGATAAACATTCTGAGGTGAGAGATAGGATTAATTATTCTGATATGCTCAATAAGCACTGTACAAGAAATATCACACTGTACCCCATAAGTGCATACAAATAATTCTTAGTCCCATATATCAAATAAAATATCTATCTATCTATCTATCTATCTATCTATCTATCTATCTATCTATCTATCTATCTATCTATCTATCTATCGGCAGGGTCTCACGCAGCTCCAGCTGGCCTAGAACTCTGGGATCAGCCATCCTGTCTCCCAAACACCAGGGATCTACTTATTATTTTTGTGCTTCAGGAGGTTTATTTTTTGAGACTGGGTCTCTTTATGTAGCACTGGCTGTCCCGGGACTTGTGTGTAGATTCAGGCTGGCCTTAAACTCATAGAGGTCAGCCTGCCTCCACCTCCTGAGTGTCAGAGTTAAAGGAGTGCTCCATCACACCCAGTAGTCCACAGGGCCTCATGTATCCCAAACTGGCCTCCAACTCTCTCTCGTGGGACTTCTGTCCCTTCTGACTCCAACTCTTGAGTGCGCTGCCATGCCCCTTCTGGGAAAAACTTGAGCAAGCACTCCACCAACTGGGCAATACCCCAGCTCTGGCACACTTTTTTTCTCTCTCTCTCTCAGCATTCCTGACATAATAAAACTGTCTTTTTATTGTCCTTAATTTAGTCTTTTTCTCTTCTGCAGTACTGGAGAGGAAATTCAGGGCCTGACATACATTAACCATGTGCCATATTCCGTGTTCAAAGGCCCAGAACATTTTCTTATCTGGAATTTTTGTTGTGTACTTTTGGCTTACTATATAGCCCAGGCTGGCCTGGAACTCACTATGTAGTTCAGTAATCCTCCTGCCTCAGCTTCTAAAGTACTGGGATTATAGGCATGCACTACCACACTTAGTCCTTCCTTCCTTCCTTCCTTCCTTCCTTCCTTCCTTCCTTCCTTCCTTCCTTCCTTCCTTCCTTCCTTCCTGAAATAAGTGCCTTATGTCAGCTAGTTAAGCTAGGATGAGCTACATTCAAACACCATCCAGAACCTTTGCTTTGTTTTGAAGCAGGGTTTCTCTGTTGTCCTGCTTGGCCTTAACCAGCTATGTAGAACTGGCAGACCATGAACTAACTTCAGTCCTCCTGAGAGCTAGGATCACGGGTATTACCAACATGCCCAGCCAGACCTTATTCACTGAAATTGCTTGCATCCATAGACATCACAATAACAGTATATAAAAAATAGTCAACCAACACAGTAAGAAAACAATAAGCATAAACACAAAGCTATTTAATATATAATTTACCTCATAAATAGGAAGGGTCGGGGAATTCCATGCGTTGATTCGCGATTCGTTGACGTCGACAACCGTTACCCTGATCTCAGGGCACATATGGGCAATGACACTGCACGTGGGGCCACCGACATAGCCCGCACCGATGCAGCAGATCTTCTTGATTTCGACCATGGCTCAACTAGAAGGAAAACAATCAGGAATGTTCTATTGTGGTATTAGAAACAGAAAATGTGGACAAATCACTGGCACATCCGTCACAAAACCATCGGGTGTCTGGAGCAAGTTCCTACGTTTGCTCACAGGAATTGCAAAACTGTAAATGGAAAATAACATTCTAGTCAGATGACTTGGCCACTCCCCCACTGTGCTCGCACGAAAAGAGGGAAAATCTCTAACAGCTGATGATAATTCTGCACATACCATAAGATTATAATGACCTGAGAGTTAGAAAATCAAGAAGCAAAATAAAGCCTGTCCTCTAAACCAGGGTTATAGGTGAGCGTACAAAGGTGAGGTTTTCCGCAGGTTTAGATGGTCAGATTAGTTCCATGACTCAGCTCTGGCCTCGAAGACTATTCGCCGGCTTAGTTTAAACACGTCCCTCTGGAAGTGTGCGGGTAACTTAATTCCCAGTGCAAAAGAGCTGGTAGGTGGGGCATAAGAGGAGCTCTGCTCTCAGTGTGGATTAATCCCTATTATAAAAGGGCTTAGGCCTACAGGTTTGATCTCATATCTTTTATTTTTCCGCCAGGGAATGACACAGCAAAACTGTCAGCCCTCCATCTTGGTTTTGCCAACCTCTAGTACCCTAAGCCAAGAAATTCCTGTTCATTATAGATTATCCATCACAGGTGCTGTTGTAGCAGCAGAAAAGAGAACAAAAACATCCCTCAAATGCTTAACTTGGCATCAGCAGATTATTTTTTTTAAATATTGGACAATAATCTTGAAACTATTTCAACTTTAGTTAGAAACTGTGAATCACTACAGGAATGTGTGTGTGCTGGTGTGCAACACCTACGTGTGAGCATGCAGAGACCTGAAGCCCACACCATGCTCCTCTATTGCTCTTTACCTGTCCTTCTGAGGCTCTGGCCTTACCGAGCCTGGAGCTTGCGATCATCGAGCAAGGCTGACTAGCCAGCAGTCCCCAACCACACCATCTCTGGCTCTCAGTCCTGGGGTGAGAGGTATGTGCGGCCACAATAGCTTTGGGTGCTAGGGATCTGAACTCAGGTCCTCAGGCTTACACAACAAGCAGTCTCCCTAGCCCAGCAAAGTCATTTCTGCCATTACCAATACTGCTGCACTGATCTTAGTATGTTTTCAATAGTCATCCGGTGAAGTGATTGACACTAAAAATTTACAAGGAACTGGCTCATATATATGAATGCCCGGTTATTCACTGTAATTACTGTCAAAATGACCGGTCACTTCAGTTTCTGCCAAGGTCTCAGACATCACATTCAAGCCCATTCATGCAACCCAGAGAGAAGGAAAACAGCAGTCAGAGAGCTTAACAGTTTGTTGTGGACTCCTGCAGGATGGGAGAAGGTGCTCTGGGTTAGACCAATCACGTATCTGTGGTTCAGTGGAAGACTGTTGGCCCAGCATGCATGAGCTGAGCTAATGAGTTTGAGTCTTAACTACTGCAAAAAATAAAGCGCACAGTTTTAGTTCCCCAAATAGGCAGGTCATGGGATTTCATAACTCTACTAAGAAAGCATTCTAACTGCCTCTGTCTCCCGAGTGCAGGCATTAAAGGCATGTGTGACCAGCGCCAGGCTAAGAAAGTATTCTTAATGTTATACGTAAAAGTTTTGGAGTGGTGGTAGGTCTCTCCTTCCACCATGTGAATCTCAGGGACTGAACTCGGGTCCTCAGGTTTGTTGGCAAGAGCATTTACCAGCTGAGTCACCCTGTCACTGCCAAAGCCATGGGTTACAAGAAAATCTATCTCAAGAAGCCTCACTTCTACCCGTCCCTACTGACTCTGCTTCTGCAGGCAGCTCCCTTGCTTCTTGTGTCTACTCCCGGTGTTACTTAGCCCCTCACTTATATGTGCACACTGTGGTCTTTTTGAGACAAGGTTTCTCTATTATATAGCTCCGGCTGTCCTGGAACATGCTACATAGACCAGGCTGGCCTCGAACTCAGAGAGATCTGCCCCGCCAAGTGCTGAGATTAAAGGTGTGCACCATCATGCCTGGCATAATCGTAGTTTTGAACTGAAGAAACACACATATAGACAGTGTCTACGCTTGGCTTCTTTTTACGTTCCTGTATTTTAAAGTCACACCCATGCTCCCCTGCCTTGGCTTTCTCACTGTTACGCTGCATCCCTCTACGTGGATTCATTTACCAGGAAATATTAAAACTGATTCCTTAAGAGCCTAAGTAAGTGAGTTGAAAGTTCTCTATTCGCATTGTGAAGCTACAAAAATCAAGCACTCCCATCAAACTTTTGGGATTGTAAGACTTGCCTTGGGAATAAAAGTACCAAGAGTACCCAAGCTGGCTTCTGGCAGTCACCCATCTTTCCTTGCCTCGCCCATCTTGCTTCCCCCACCCAAGTGGATGGAAAAGATGACGTTGGGGACACTAAGTGATGAAGCTGGGGAATCATCTGAAACTCTCCCATGCTTCCAGTCGTCACCACAGCTGTCCCACCTCTGCAAACGGAAATCTTTGGCATCTGGTTCCAGAAAATTTATTTCAACTTGTCCCAGGGCCTACTTCTTCCCCATCACACAAAAAAGTAATGTTCCTGACAGTAAGAAATGGGTGAGAGGCACTGGCGAGGTGGCTCAGAGGATAAGAGCACTGGCTGCTCTTCCAGAGGTCCTGAGTTCAATTCCCAGCAACCACATGGTGACTCATAACCATCTGTAATGAGATCTGGTGCCCTCTTCTTGCCCACAAGGATACATACAGGCAGAATATTGTATAATAAATAAATAAATAAGTATTTAAAAAATAAATAAATCTAAAAAAAATGGGTGAGAACTTGGCCGTAGATAGAGGACCTGGCGCTGAAGTATTTAACAACTATCTGGAGACATTTATTACACACCTCCATGTAACAGCTCCCATTGTTCAGTGTGCTATGGATACAATAATCAGACAGCTCAGACCCTACCCTCCAACAGTTACAATCCAGTAAGGAGCAAGAAGAGCCATGGCCTTTGTAAGTGCCCTATAGAGAAACACACAGGAACTGTCTGTGGGGTAGGGGACAGGGAAGGGATCTCTGAAAAGTGGTAACTTAAAGAGGGAAAAGAAAGAATTACACCCCCCCCCCAAAAAAAACAACCACATGAGAAAAAGATAATCAACTAGAAAGCAAAATGACGGCTAAGTCCAAAGAAGAAAGAGGATGAAGAGGACAAAGTGCTGGCTGAACCAGCCTGATGGCCTGAGTGCAGTCCCTGGAACCCACATAAGGTGAAGGAGAAAACTGGCTCCTGAACGTTGCCCTCTGATCCAACACACAATAATAATATGGGGCATTTAAAGAAAAAAAAGGAGAAAGAGGCAGAGAAAGGTCATCTCAATGGAGATGCAGAAGTTAAGCCTGCAGTAAAGAATGGGTAGATTTTGGGGAAGGGGGAGAACAAAATCAGAAAGAACATTCTAGATAAGAGTAAAAGAATAAACACAGAGAAGTGAGGCTACACGCTCAGTGGGTAAGGCAATGAGAACTAAGGAGCTGTGGGGAGCAGTAACTGTCCCCCATAGCTACATACATTGGCCCCTGAATGTCTCAGGACAACAAGGCAGCAATCGGTAAGAGTAATCTAGTAACAGCTTACATGGCTGAATGGAACCATCACAGTCAGAGGCACTGCCACAACTAACCCTGTTCTGTGCTAGGAGAGGGGAAGTGTTTCCAAGCAGGGCAGCTTCAGTTCAAGTCTGGAGACTGAAAGAGTTAGGAACAATACAGCGCAATACGTGATATTTACTGTCATACAAAAGGACTGGGACATGGAATCTAGAGATGAGAAATTCTCTGGTTCCAGGAAAGTGGGGACAGATAGCGTGCCTCCTCAAAATTCTCTGTTCTGATGCTTTATCAATCTGGATTTCCAGAAGCTACAGTAGCAGAAATAGGTGGTCCTAGCCGGGTATTATAATTAAAGGCCTTTAACCCCAGCACTCAGAAGGCAGAGGCAGGCAGATCTCTATGAATTCGAGACCAGCATGGTCTACAAAGTGAGTTCCAGGATAGCCAGGACTGTTACACAGAGAAATCCTATCTCAAAAAAAAAATAAGTGAAGAAGGAAGGAGATAGAGAGGGAGAGAGAGAAGTAGAGAGAGAGAGGGAGGGAGGGAGAGAGGGAGGAAAAGGAGAAGAAAGAAGGAAGGAAGAAAGGAAAGAAGGGAGGGAGGGAAGGAGGGAAAAGATGGTTTCAATTTCAAGTATAAGTACATTCTCTATACCCAGAAGGTCTACACATACAGAATCAACTGTGAGGTGTGGTGTGTATTTGTGTATGTGTGTAGGTATAATGGCAGACATATTTAATCCTAGCACTACAGAAGCAGAAGCAAGCTTGAAGCCATCCTGGTCTACATGGCAAGTTCCAGGCCAGCCAGCCACAGTGACATAGTGAGACCTTTCTTTAAAAAAAAAAAAAAAAAAGTTGGATTTCTGCTAAGAACACATATAGACTTTTTAGGTATCACTTTCATTGTTTGTTTTTAGACAAGGTCTCCCTAGGCAGCCTAGGTTGGCCTGGAACTTGCTATGTAGCCTGGGACAGATAGTCTTATGTTCATGATCCTCCTGCCTCCACCTCTACTATGTTAGGATGACAGGAATGTGCCATGGTGCTCAATTATAGGTATCATATGTAACTCAGAGGATTTAAAGTTTTCAGGAGGACACGCATAGGCTATATATAGACAGATAAATACTGCACCATTTTACTTAGAAAATTTGAGCATTTCCAGTTGTGGGCATTTGCAGTAGACCTGAAGCCAATCTCCCAGAGATACCAGGCCACCGTCTTCCAGCCTGCAACAAAACCCTCCAGTGTGACAGCAAAGTTCCACTGTAGCGTATCCATCTGCTCAGTCTCTTTATCAGCCACACTGTCATAAATCATCATCTAAAGCCTAGTTAACTCTGGGCCTATAGGTTTATCTCCAAGGTTCACAGGACTGAACCAGAACCACCAAATAAATATAAGATACCTGGTGAGGGCCTGGAGAGATGGCTCAGTGGTTATCATCACTCGCTGATCTTCCAAAGGACCTAAGTTCAATCCCTAGCACACATAGCAGTTCGCAACCAACCATAACTCCAGTTTCAGGGGATTTTCTTCTGACCACAGTACCAGGCATGTAGACAGTAAAGGACCTGTGAGTCGCGACCCCTTTGGCAAGCCTATCTCCAAAAATATTTACATTACGAGTAGCAAAAATTGCAGTTATGAAGTAGCAATAGAAACTACTTTAAGATTGGGATCACCACAGCATGGAATCTGTATTAAATAAAGGGTCGCAGCATTAGGGAGATTGAGAACCCTTGGTATAGACATATATGCAGCCAAAACATCCACACACATAAAATAAGAATACATAAAAATAAAAGACACCTGCTTTCCTCCCTAATTAAACTAGTAAGTAGTATTTTTTGGTTTTTCAAGACAGGGTTTCTCTGTGTACCCAGACCAGGCTGGGTTTGAACTCACAGACATCCACCTGCCTCCACCTCTCCTCCACCAGTGCTGGAGTTAAAGGGATGTGCCACCACCGCCCGGAGAGAACTTGTAAGTCATGTTGTTCCAGAGGATCTTTCAGAGTTACAACTTGATTCCACAGACAAGACATTAGAGCTACTATGGCAGACTACACCCTCAAGCTCAAGCAGGCCCTATTTCTGTTACCATTTACAGAATAAGCATAGATCCAATGTCTATGGAAGATAAATTCCTGGGCTTTAAGGAGTTCACAGTTTAATAAGGTATCCCGAGGCTAATGAATCTTTAAAAAAATGTTTTTAGATTTATCTATTTAATGTGTTTTAAGGTAAACCACCTGAGTGCCTGGGAGTTAGATGGCGGTGGGCCACCACTGTGAACATTGGGAGCTGAACCAAGAGGAACAAGTGGTCTTTAAATTCTGAGGTCTCTCTCCAGCGCCAAGGCTGCTGGTCCTTATCAGCTGCAGTTCACTGCCATACCTTCAACACCTCGTATGGCGATCCCTCTGTACGTACTGAGTTAACTGTCCCCATGGGACTCTGTATTGCAGACTTCCTGTTTCATAGGTTTAGTTAAGATGGTTGCTATTTTGCAGTGAACAATCAGACTACTACCTTCTTTAGCCACCTAAAGAATGTCATCATATTTTCCTGTTACCTCTAATATTACTTGGATGTTTTTATCGTGCTGGGGATTAAATCCAGGGTCTCAAGCATCTCAGGTAAACATTCCACCGCTGTGTTCCACCCCCTAGTCCTCAAATTACTTCCTATCTGCCTTTCTTTCTTTCCAAGGAGCAGTCACTGACGACAGCCGCATCTGCACTGGAGAAATGAATAAGCTTTTCTTTCCCTCTAGTGTTGTTCTCTCTCCCTCCTCCTTTTCCTTACACACACCCACTTCTCCCTCAGTAAGGTTTCCCTCTGCAGCTAGGCTGTCGTGGAACTGGTGGTGACCCTTCTGCCTCAGCCTCCTGGGGACTGTGATTACAGACACGAGCCACGACACTCAGCTGCTTGATGAGCTGGTCTTCATCTTGGGTACCTTGCCTTCTAGTCTTCAAATGAAGTGCAGCTCGTACATGACAATGGATGGAAATATGGAAAAGATGGATGCACAACCCAGTGCAAACCAAATAAAGTCACTTGGAAGTTTCAATAAAATCCTCAATAAGTTTTTGATTTCCTTATTATGTATACAGTGTTCTGACTGCATGTATCCTTGCAGGCCAGAAAAGGGCACCAGATCTCGTTATAGAGGGTTGTGAGCCACCATGTGGTTGCTAGGAATTGAACTCAGGATGTCTGAAATAGCAGCCAGTGCTCTTAACTGCTGAGCCATCTTTCCAGGCTCCTCAATAAACTTCAATATGGAGCATGATACAAAGTTACCAATAGCTTTATGACACAGATGTTTTCTGATTGTATTTTCATTTTTTATAATTTTAGAGTTTTATTTTTTTTCTTTCTCTGTATGTTGTATGCAGGCCATGGCACATGTGTGAGGTCAGAGGATCACTTTGGGGGGTCTAGGTTTTCCTTTCTCTGTGGGTTCTGGGGATCCAACTCAAAGTTGACAGGTAAGTGTGTTGGAGGCAGCCGCATGTTTGTCCCGGCCACCCAGAACCGAAATAATCACACAGAAACCATATTAATTAAAATACTGCTTGGTCTATTAGCTCTAACTTCTTATTGGTTGACTCTTACACATTAATTTAACCCATTTCTATTAATCTGTGTATTGCCACATGGCTGTGGCTTACTTGCTAAAGTTCCATCTGGCTCTGGCTTCTCCCTGATTCCACTTTCCTTCTATCTCCCAGCATTCAGCTTAGTCTTCCCCGCCTACCTAAGTTCTGCCCACCTAAGATCTGCCCTATAACAGGTCTAAAGCAGCTTCTTTATTAACCAATGGTATTCACAGCATACAGAGGGGAATCCCACATCATAAGTGTTCTCCCTGCAGGCTCATCTCACCATTTTCTAATTCTACTTGTTTTGCGGTACTGAGAGAAAAGTGGGCCTATCCACTTAGTGAATAGGTCATTCTGAACTGAGTTCCCACCTCTGTGTTTTGGGAATCACAATATACCACATCGACCTGAAATTACTGTTTATGTAAAATCTCTTAAATTCAGATAAACATTTCAACCTACAAGATGGCACTAACAGCCCACAAATGTCCTATGCTGCAATCTGAACAGAATATAATCCATCTGCCACCCCTCTTCATAGCTACTGATTAACTAAACAGTAGGCATGATAGATAGCTGGGTACACCAACCTCGCTCATCTCGGTCAGTCATTTCCTGGACACATACTTAAAAAATGCCCGACCTAAGGGGGTTAAAAACTATTGTGAAAGACTTAATTCTATGTCTAACGGGCAAGAGCAAAGCAGTGGAAATACAGGGAACGATGGAGTATGCCTAGTGGTTAGAGTACAGAGATGAAGGCGAGGGGCGGGGGTGGGGTGGGAAGTGGAATATATTATGGGTTCTTTTCCCATACAGGGTTGTGTAGCATTCGGCTAAGACTAGAAGCTGAGTACACATAAGCTCGCCTCAGAGCAGAAACACTCAGCTCTTTCAAGTCCAGACCCCTCAGAAGAAACAGACCAGACTACTGTTCTCTATTTCTTAGGGGAGTTGAAAAAAACCCAAAGACTGGCCTTTGAGGTGAGCGGGTGAACAGTAAGTCCTCTGTGTATTCCACGTATGAGCTCTCTCACCCAGCGAGCACCTCCTTTCCCAGCCCTGCTCAGTTATCTTACACGTAGGACACGAAGATGTTCAAGATCTCCCGAAAAACATGGTCTCTGAAGCCCCCAAGAAAGGCCTTCCCTGACATGAAGCAGAACGTCCAAGCATTTGCCTCGGCCAACAATAGGCTGCAGAAGCCCCCTAAGATATTAGGATAAATGCCTTAGGGCTTCGTTTTCAGGGGGCGTTGCTTTCTTCTCTTAGGGGCTACCAGCGGAGGGCAGCGGACCCCCAGGTGAGCAGATTCTAATTCTCAACAAAGCACAGATAGGACTTTAAGCCTCCTATTAGGCCCCACGGAGTGGACCCCTTCCTTGGGGCGGGGGTTGGGGCGTTTGGCTTTCCGAAGCGGCGGGAAAACCTTGTTCGTTTCAAGTAGTAAAGTGGGAAGATGAGAACGGGCCCGAAGACGCACAAGTTGCAAATCAAAAGCCCTCCTAGCCCGACCTCCTGCAGGCGCCGGACGCGATTCCGCCGGGCCCGAAAGGGGGACCAGGATGATGCGATGGGCAGCCCCGCCGCGAGCTCCGGGCCGCGTGCACACACACCCCGGCCGCGAGAAGGAGGCATCCCGCGGGGAACCGCGCTTACCCACTTCCAAGGCCGGAGCACGGTGGCCACTCGGATCCCGTTCGCTCGGACAGAGCCTTACTTACAAGCCGTAGCCTCCACACTCTCCGCCCGCCGCTGCCCGAATCCAGGGCCCGCGGCCGTATTTAAATGCTTCTGCCGGGGAAGGCGGAGGCTTCATTCCCCCGCAGCCTGGCCGCCCGGGACTCTGAACTCAGCCACCGCCCCGCACTGCCCCGCCTCCCTCCGTGCCAGGCCCGGGACAGGCCTCTATTTCCTTCTGGACTCAGGGCGGCGGGAGGGGCGGGACCCGAAGTGGGTCGCCACGCCCCTACCGAGACGGGCGAATCGGCTCGAGCCAAGTCACCGCCCCGCCGAGCGGCGCTGGGCGTGGCTGCGTGCGCCCTGGGTCCCTAGGTTGGGCGGCTGTTGGCCAGGGCATCGTGACCCCTGGACTGTCTCTGCACCTTGGACCTTGGACTTTGGGATGGCACACTTCGCGTGTGCCAAATGAGCCACCCGTGGACTGGAGCGCAGGGCGCGTTGCGGGCCGAGCCCACCGGAAGATCCTCTGGTTTTCGGGCCTTCCCCTCATCCTGGAGGCTGAGCCTGGGTTCTCATCTAGCTGGTCTCTGCGGGCCATCCTCCGCTACCCTCCCACATCCTTCAGGCCCCCTTGGTCCGCCCCGCCCTCCGGACTGCTGCCCAGAGTTTAGTCACGTCCCACCCCGGTGGCGCGGGGTCTGGGAAGAAAACGCCTCAGATCGGAAGGATGCTGAGTTCCATCATGACTGGACCAGTGTCTCTTGGTCCCTGGCCGAAGAACCCGGGCGCCCACGCCTAAGGGCGTATTTTCCAGGAAAACTTTGCAACCAAATTCTCAAAGGGAGAGTGTTTGCATGATACATAGGAAGGCGTACGCAAAGTAGAAATGTGTAGGTGTGCATTGACGCGTGTGTATGTGGTACTAGAAATTGAACTCAGCCTTATGCTTGGCGGATAAGCACCCTACTACTGAACTATGTCCCCAAACCTTACAAATGCATAAAAAGTAAAACTGCAAGCCCGGTGGTGGGGGAGCACGCCTTTAATTCCAGCATTCGGGAGGCAGGCGGATCTCTGTGAGTTGGAGGTCAGCCTGGTCTACAAGAGCTAGTTCCAGGACAGGCTCCAAAGCCATAGAGAAACCCTGTCTCGAAAAACCAAAATACATAAATAAATAAACAAACAAAAGTAAAATTGCCGCTTGGAGAGAGGGCTCAGGGATTCACTCCCAGGGCCCACATCAGGTGACCCAAAGCAGCCTAGAACTCCAGCACCAGGAGACCACGCTCTGGCCTCCACAAACCCAGCACACACGTGGCACACACACAGACACCCGTACACATAAATTAAAAAAAAAAAAGTAAAATTATCTAGCCTGCACACGCAAGTCTTTTGAGACAAAGTCTGGCTGTGTAGAGGTGGCTGATCTGAAACTCCCTGAAGAGGTCATATTGGCCTTGCATTTCCAGCGATCCTCTTGCTTAGCCTCCCAGGATTCATGATTACTGGCAATCCGACTTTTAATATGAAGGGTTGTTTTTCTTCTTTTGCTATTTCAAGATCATCTTAAGCCTGAAATCAAAAAAGGGAAAAAAAACCAGGCACAGTTATTGTCTCTCACTGGTGGTGATATGTTCTGAGAAATGTGTTGGGTAGATTTGTTCCACCGCGTCATTGTGTACTTAGACAACACACACTCGCAAAGACATCAGTACCCAATAGAATATGTGACCACCCATATGAAGTCAGTCGTTGGCCAAATGACGTTATGTAGTGCTTGACTGTATGTACCTCATGGGACAAGTAATTAGGAAAATTTGAAAGCACATTAAGATGCCATAGGTCTGAGGAGATGGCTCAGTGGGCACACTGCTTTCCATGCGCACATAAGGACCTAAGCTCAGATCCCTAGAACCCAAGTAAGCCAGGAGCTGGGACTAGAAAGATACCTCAGTAGTTAAGCGGGGGTACTGCTCTTGCAGGGGACCCTAATTCAGGTCCCAGTACCAGCCTCAGAGGCGCTCACAACCGCCTGTAGAGCCAGCCCCAGAGACACACAGATACACAGGTATAATTAAAAAACAAAGCAGGAGCCGGGCAGTGACGGCACACAACTTTAATCCCAGCACTGGAGAGGCAGAGGCTGGCAGATCTCTGTGAGTTCGAGGCCAGCCTGATCTTCAGAGTGAGTTCCAGGACAGGCTCCAAACCTACAGAGAAACCCTATCTCGAAAAAACAATAAGTAAATAAATACTTAAAAAAAAAACAACCAAAGTCAGCTGCTGCTAGACTTAAGAAATCAATCAAGAGGCAGAGAGAGAGATAGGAGGAACCCTGTGGCTTGCTGACCAGAAAGTCTTGCCAAATTGGTAAGCTTCATGTTCCATGATACACTCTGTCTCAAAAAAGAAAGTGCGATGTAACACCCGGTTTTGGTGTTACACCCTCGGTACAGTTCACGCGCCACTGCGCCACTGTACCGAACACGAGTCGGGCAAGGCCTGGAGATTGAACAGAAGACACAGAGAGACCAGGGTCATTCGATAGGAGATCAAGAGAATGCCGATCTTTGAGGCCAGCCTGGTCTACAAGATCAAGTTTCAGGACAGGCTCCAAAGCTACAGGGAAACCCTGTCTCAAAGAAACAAAAAAACAAGTTATAATTTACTTTCTTGATATGCTCATGATGGCAACTCTAAGAAAATTGGTGAACATTGGTTAGTTTTTTGTCAGCTTGACACAATGTAGCGTAGTCTATGACAAGGAAACCTCACCTGGAAATCCCTCTATCAGACTGGCTTTCTTCCCCAGGTTGCTGTGGGCATAGTCTTAATCACAGTAGAAAGCAAAGTAGGGTACCTGCTGTGCTAAGCATAGTGAGCTGAAGGTTGTAAGAAGTGTGACAGACCCTGTAGGATTTGTACAGCCAATGCAGTTCATTCACCCTGCAAGAATTTACAAAGTGTCTAATGTGTGTCCAGCACTGCCCCAGAGACTGAAGACAGAAACGCTCACAGGCTAGTAGGGCAGGATAGAAAAATTAAAGGGTCATGATAAAAGAAAGAAGCCCTTCACTTCATGGCTAGTTAGGGTTTCTGTTGCTGTGATTGAAACATCATGGCCACAAGCAACTTGGAGAGGAAAGGGCTTATTTGGGTTTCATATACAAATATTGAGGATGTCCGGGCAGAAACTCAAACCGGGCAGGAACCTGGAGGCAGGAGCTGATGCAGGGACCATGGAGGAATGCTGGGTTGTTCCTCATGGCTTACTCAGCCTGCTTTCTTATAGAACCCAGGACCACCAGCCCAAGGATGACGTCATCACAATAGGCTGGACCCTCCCACATCATTCACTGATTAAGAAAATGCCCTCCAAGTTTGCCTACAGCCTGATCTTAGAGAGGCATTTTCTCAGTTGAGGTTCCTGCTCTCTGATGACCCTAGCGTGTGTGAAGTTGACATAAGGCCAGTCAGCACACCAGAATCTAGTTTGTTTTCTGCTGGTTCAAGTAAAAATAAACAAAAACTTCTGTTAGACCTGGTATAGCCTAAAATCCCAATGGTCAGAATGCAGAGTTGAAGGCCAGCCTGGTCTAAATATAAAGTTTTAAGCTACCTTAGGCTACAGGAGACCCTCTCTCAAAAACCAAACAAAACAAAAAACAAACCTTAATACAACTAGAGGAGACAAAATTGCCTACTAAGATAATATTTGAGGGAGTAGTGCCATATATATATAAAACCCTTGGTGTTGGTTACTCAAGAATGAGCCTGGTTTTTGTAAAGAATTCTGATCTCTCAAACAAATGTCATCCTTTATTGAACTGCACAATAAATATAGTGCAAAAAGGAATGAAAACATTTTAAATTTAGTTATTGATTGACTGATTGAGAAACCCTGTCTCAGAAAACCAAAAAAAAAAAAAGGAAGAAAGAAAGAAAGGAAAAAGAATTCCACTTACAAAGAAGAAATTCTTTAGGAGAGCTGTGTAAACAAGCTCCCCTTTTAAATTCAAATTTTAAACTTTGCTTAATCTTTAGATCTGGTTGTGAATTCTATCTTTTGAGCAATATACCTTTAAAAGTCACATATAGGACTGTTAAGGTATTTAAAGGTTATCTCTTAGAAGCCCATTACGGTGTTTCTCTGAAGTTCCATGTTTAAATCTCTCTCTCTCTCTCTCTCTCTCTCTCTCTCTCTCTCTCTCTCTCTCTCTCAACAGTGCAATAGTGTAACTTAGCAGTTCCCCAGACCTTAGCACAACTGACTCTGTGATGGAAGGATATGATGATCATTCAGGCTGTAAAACTCAGTACGCAGCTAGGACCACCAGTCAAAACTAAAACAAAGGCCTAATCCATCAAAGTCCATAGAGTTCTGGGAAAGCCTCGAAATGTACTCACCTTGCTTTTCAGCTTCTGTAGTCTTGCTTCTGGCTGACTGTTCTTGTTAACTGATGTGTGTCAACCCAGAACAAGGCTTTCATGCTTAAAAGCTCACCCTGAGAAGGCTGGGGGGTTACACAGTGTTACTTTACCCTGTTACACCAGGAAAGGTGATTACAGAAAAGACTGGTAAGTTCAGCTTGATCCCTAAAGCCCCACAAGTTAGGATATCTGAGCAACATGAATGCATGCATACTCTGCATGTGCATGTACACACGCACATTTCTCTAATTCCTTTCTCTAAATTATTTTAGTTTTTTCGAGACAGGGTTTCTCTGTAGCTTTGGAGCCTGTCCTGGAACTAGCTCTTGTAGAACAGGTTGGCCTCAAACTCACAGAGATCCACCTGTGTCTGCCTCCCGAGTGCTAGGATTAAAGGTGTGTGCCACCACCTCCCGGCTTCCTTTCTCTAAATTATACCCAGTGTAATCGCCAGCTGGCCAATAAAGACTTTCTATTGGCTTAAGCCCCTGTCCGAGCAATCGTCTCTGGTGAACACCCCTCAACAACCAGGGAGCCATCTCGCCAGCCTGAGGACCTTTTAGAAGATCCCTGAATTGGGCCGGATAGTGGTGGCACATGCCTTTAATAGTAGGAAGCAGAAGCAGGCCGATCTCTGTGAGTTCCAGACCAGCCTGGTCTACAGCGTGAGTTCCACGTCAGCCAGCCAATATGATAAGACCTTAATCTCAAAGAGGTGGAGCTGCTGAAGAGTTAAGGGCATTTACTGCTCT